GATTTTCCAGGCAAGAGTACTGGAGTGGGTTGACAAAGCTAATGAATTAAATATTTCTAGGATGATAGCAATTACTTTTTCCAAAAGTAAATATAAAGAATGTGCTCAGCCACTCAATCGTGTCCAACTCTTTGCAACCCCATGGATTGCAGCCTGTTGGGTTCCTCTGTCCATAGAACTTTCCAGGCAAGAATACTAGAGTGGGTTGCCATTTCCCACTCCAGGGGATCTTAAGCATGTGTGTGTTAGTCACTCAGTCGTGTCCGATTCTCTGTGTAGCCTGTCAGGCTTCTCTGTCCATGGAATTCTCCAAGCAAGAATACTGGAGTGGATTGCCATTCCCTTCTCCAGGGCATCTTCCCAACCCAGGGATCGAACCCTGGTCTCCTGCACTGCAGGCAGATGGTTTATGTTTGAGCTACGGGGAAGTCCTATATTAAATAAAAAGGACTATCATGTTATGTATGATAACAAACACAAATACCACAGAAAGCTATTTTTAAATGAATTTTATAGATAAAAAATATTTTTCTTCATCCTATTTATTGTATATTTTTCAAAACAATTTTTTTTCCTAGACAACAAAAATCTCTCTTGTTCTATGTGTCTAATTAAGATATATACTGTTGTTTAGAGCTCTGTGGTGTGCAATTAGACCTGCAGTTTTCTAATATCCATAATAAATTAAAAAATGTTCCTCCTCTGAAAGACAGATAATTCAGTCATAGAGAGCTTATTTCTATGTTTCCTTTGTTTTCTTGTGGTTTTTTTTTCCAGCTGCTTGGTAAGCCAATTTTCTACTTAGAGTCTACTATTAGAACACTCATTTGGTTCAGTATGTGGGCTTTATCCTTTCCATGGTCTGTTATGCAAAAGAGATGGCTTTAACCAATTTTTTTAGTTTGTTGTGAAGTAGTGCTTCTCAACTTGGATGCACATGAGAATCACCGAGGGAACCTATAAAAGAATACTGATGCTGTCTGCCCCTCTAGAGATTGCGATGTAACTGGTCTGGGTGGGTCCTTTGTAAAAGCTCTGTAGGTGACTGTAATGTGTTACCAAGGCTAGGAACCACTACTGTAGGATCTTGCCACAGTCCAAATAAAAGCTTATTATCTTTTCTGACTGAACTTGGGTCGGAAATGATTTTTTTTTAATTCTGTCATTTAATAGATACAAAGATTAAATTTCTTCTTTAGTTGTTACTTTTGTAGTGTGACTTTTAGGGTTTAAGAGTATATTGTATCTCTTATTCTGAAGATTAGTGTAAGAAGTCTATTGGTTGGTAGTAAGAAATATTTAAAGAGATATGCCTGAATATTACCTTTATAGACTAATAGTTTTAGTTCATGTTTTCCTAAAAAATACGCTACAATTCATGGTTAAAGACTGTCTTCATACACACAGAAAGAAACAATTATTTCCCCAGACAAATATTCCAAAAGACATTCACTTTTTTGCATATAGAAGTTCACATGAGGTTCTGAAAAAAAATATTAATTTTTCCAACAATTTAATTTTGACAGATTGAAAGGACCAAATCTAAGACAGAAGCTACTTGACAAAAAAATATATATTATTATCCATCTTAATATATCAAGATAAAAAAGGGGACATTAGCTATGCAGTCAGTGGTGATTAAGTAAATATCAAGTACAAATATCATATAAAACTTACTGAAAATCTATTCAAATACTTAAACAAGATGGATAATTTTCCAAAAACACAAAATAAGGAAAATGACTCAAGGGAAAAACAGAATTCCTGAAAAACAACTGCTGAAAAATGGAATCAGTGATAAAAAATAAATCCATCTTCCTTGAAAGACAGCATACCCAGACGCTTTTATGTGTTTTACCAAACATTCAAGTATCATATAATTTCTTTTGGTACTGTTTCAGAGAGGAGAAAAGAGAAAAGCTAGTCAAATCACTCCACAAGGCTAGTACAATTTTGATATGAAACTTAGGATAGTAACAAAAAAAAAGTAAAATTGTGTACCAGCCTTAAGCAAGTTGTAAATCCTCGTTGAAAGTTCCCCCCTTATTATCTCTCTAGGTAGAAACAATCATTTCCCACTGGCTCCTGTACAGCTAACATATACTCTATCCACAGCACTTTAACACTTTAGTGTATGCCTGTGTTTTCATATTTGTCTCTCACTGGTAGACACTAAGATCCTTGCAGGCAGGGAAAGCTCTGTATTTATATCCTCTGGCATGAAGTACAGTGCTTACTCCATGATCAGGGCTTCCCAGGTGACTCAGTGGTAAAAAATTCACCTGACAATGCAGGAGACATGGGTTTGATCCCTGCGATGGGAAGATCCCCTGGGGGAAGAAATGGCAACCCACTCCAGTATTCCTGCCTGGGAAATCCCATGGACAGAGGAACCTGGCGAGCTATAGCCCATGGGGCTGCGGAAGAGCAGTACAGGACTTAGGGACTAAGCAACAACAGCTACTCCATGGTCATGCTCAACAGCTGATGAATGACGTGAAGGGAGAGAAAGTGAAAGTGTTAGTTGCTCCATCGTGTCCATTTCTTTGCGAATCCATGGACTGTAGCCCACCAGGCTTCTCTGTCCATGGAATTCTTCAGGCAAGAATTCTGGAGTGGGTTGCCATTCCCTTCTCGAGGGGATCTTCCTGACTCGATGATTGAACCCAGGTCTCCTGCATGGCAGGAGGATTCTTTACTGTCTGAACCACTAGAAAAGCCCCAAGACTGGAGTGGGTTGCCATATCCTCCCTCCAGGGGATCTTCCCAACCCAAGGATCAAACCCAGGTCTCCTGCATTGCAGGAGGATTCTTTACTTTCTGAGCCATCAAGGAAGCCCAAGAATACTGGAGTGAGTAGCCTATCCCTTCTCCAGGGGAACTTCCCAACCCAGGGATTGAACCAGTGTCTCCTGTATTGCACAGGGATTCTCTACCAGCTGAGCTACCCGGGAAGCCCAGGGAAGGGCCTTTCAGGTAGAAATACTGTAATCTGTACAAGTGTGCACTGCTTGCATGCTCAGCTGTGTCTGACTCTTTGAAACCCCATGGACTATAGCCTGCCAGACTCTTTTGTCCATGGAATTTTCCAGGCAAGAATACTGGAGTGGGTTGCCATTTCCTATTTCAAATTTGTATAGGCAGAAGGTGAGAAATAAAGAAGCAGTGAGTACATCATTTGGCTAGAACATAGATTTGTATAAAGAAATAACACTGGAACAGTAGGTCATGGCCAGTCGGGGCAGGGGGATGCTTTTCAGTGCGGAAGCTAAGTTTAGCTCAAAATCTACTAAAGGCATTTGAACAGGCAATGGCAAAATCAGACCTTTGCTTCAGGGTTCATATGAGCACTTTTTTTTTTAGCTGCCTGGGACCCATATGGTTTAAATCCATCATTTTAAAAATTAGAAAACTACAGTCAGGGTAGGTGATCTACCCAAGACCAAAGAACATATCATTAGTTAAAAGGAGGCTGAACCTCACAGGAGTAAACTTGATTCAAGTCACACAGTATATGGTCCAACCAATAGGCAAACTGAAGTTTATCAAACCACAAAGTCCATAAACTAGACAGAGGGAGATGAAGTATGTGGACCATATGTATATACCCTTTTCAAACAGTCCTAATTTCAGGTAATAAGTTCATTTCAAATAAAGGTAATTTGTGTACTGTAAAACTAAAGGTTGATTTATGCTTTTTTTTTTTTACTTTTATTGTAAGACAGAACATTTAAAAGAATTCTAGTTGGCTTTATTACATGAAGTCATTTTGATTAGGTCTTTTATTCAGTTAGCCTCTAGATCCAAGATCAATATGATGGTAGGCATGAACAGGAAGTGAATAGGAATAAAGCACTTCTTTATCCTTACAAAATCCATACCTGGAGCATTAAAAATGGTCTTAGTTACTACAACAAATCGGAAAAGTTCCAGAAAAAGGTAAATTAATTAAAAAGGGCTCTTCAGTCTTAAAAGATAGCCTGTAAGTTTATAAAATCAGAAGAGCTAAGTGGGGATAGAGAAGACTTGTTATCATTATCTCAGAATACTAATTCTGGAAAATACTTCTTAAAGTCTAAATGATAATGGATTTAGAGAAAATACAGGAACATACCATTTTACCTAGACAAAACATACCATTTTACCCACTGAAAAAACACGTTGAGGAGGTTGTTTTTTTCAATTTAAAGTTACATTAAGAAAACAGAATTTCAGACTCAAAGTACTGATACAAGATGAAAATATCCACAGGTACATGATAATGAATGATGACGGAACATTTTCAGAAATAGACAGGGTGAGATCTCATATACACTTCCTAGATTAACCCTTTTGGTGCCTGTGTCCCAGGCAGGACACTAGATCGAGAAGGCTGCTCCTCTAAGGCCCTCCTTACAAATCCTTGCCCCAAGCCATGGTTTGGCACCACAGAGTCTTATAGAAAACAGGCATTTGACTACTGTTTGCTAACTGACTAACTGATGTTTAAAGAAGGTAGTTAATAACACAGTTTTGAAAGGCATGAAATCATGAGCAAACAGTAATGATAGCACTAATAATGATAATGACAAGAATCACAATAGTAATTGAGATTATTAATTAATACATGTAATAATAGTATTACATCATTATTGCTCTAAATCATCTATTAACTTGGATATCTTCATTCACTCTGTTTTTCAAATAATAAAATCACAGCACATAGCAGTTAGTAATCTGCTCAAGGACAAAGAGGTAGGTTGTGGCAGAGCTAGGATTTGAACCCAGACGCTTGTGCTATTAATCATTATGGTATTTAGGCGAGTCCTGAAACTGTCTATGGATCCTCTATAGATGTGATACTTTAAAGGATCCCATTTCATATGTAATTACTTTTGTTGAATATTTGGAAAAACAAATTACAGACTTTAAAAAGTATTCACACTTATTTCAGAATAGAAAACTAATAACCCTATTTTAGTTTCCCTTCAACAAAATGTATATATTTGCTTTAGATTTACCTCCAGCCTTCCTTGAGCATAACTCAGGAGCAGCAGATTGGCTCCGTCCTTCTCAGAAGAAATCGGGGTCCAAGGCCAAGCATCATCACTGACCAGTGGCCACCAGCAAACAATTGTATCTTGAACACAATTGATAGCTAGACGACGCTGTATTGTCCTATTTACTGGGCCAGGGATTTCATAATGGGAAATCTAGTGGTTAAAAAAAAAAAAAAGCAGAGAAGGAGCATCTTTAAAAGGCAAAATCCTCAAAGTATTACAAAAATTAAAGCATCTGTAAATGTAGATAAATGCAAGTAAATATGCATGTTAAATATGTGCTTAAGGAGGTGTCAGAATTTACCAAATTCTTTTGACACATACATAAAAAAGACATATGTTCAAAATTCTCCCCATTTTTAGCAGAGGAAAGGAAAAGGAGAAATGTGAGTTGGGAAGGAATTGGCCATAGCAATCCCAATCAATAGCAAAATGTACAGTCATGGTTGCTTGACAGCATCGACCTACACATAGGATTTAAGACCAGCTATATTAAATGACAGGTTCAGTACTGCTGACCAAGAGTGTCGGACTACTGTTTAAGACATAACATGTTAACAGTGACTGACAACAACAAAAGGAAAAACAACTTGAGGCAAATATCACTTTAAAGACATATATACAAAAATTCTGCATAAAGGGATAAGTCACAGCATCATGAGTAAAAGTTTATGCAGCTTCTGAGAATTATGCTTTTCTTTCTTAGGACGGATTTGTAGAATTTATTATTCAAACTATGTTATTTTGGAACATGGTTATTTGAAAACATAAGCACGGCACCATCTGGGTGACACATGCCAAGGAAATATAGATTGCACCGTATTTCTGCTTAAGGAATTAATGGAAGGTTGATAGCTTGGAAGCGGAAAAAAAAAAAAAAAAACTATCTTGCCATTGCTGGTCAGCAATAATCGAACCACTTTCTGGGGATTAAGCGCATGGCTAAGCCTACTGGACCAGACACTAGCAAAGGGCAGGGGGTCTTCTTATCAGAGAAATGCTTCTGGAGCCAGTCTCACTACATGACAGATTGCTTTCATATTCCTGTCTGCAAGGCAACAAAGGATGGCAGTAATGCGATAATGCCAGAGTGCAATGGGTGTTAAGAACCCGTTGCATTTATGTATTGTATTTAGTAAATAATCAGGCTCATCCAAATTGTGATCTCACCACTCAACCAAGGCCATTAAAATCAAGGTTAATGCTTTAATAATCCTCTGCTATTTTTTTTTAATATGGTCAAAAGGAACCCTTTTCTATTTGCATGGCCATAATATTATTGACCTCTTCATCCTCTGAATGCACATCAAAAGGAACTGAAATCAAAGTAATTACCAGTGTTGTTCTCTCATGGTAAACATTTAACTCCTTGCACTGTCCCTTCACTATTAAATAAATTGAATTGGATTTTTAAAATGTAGACAGGAAAACTTGCTAAAGGTCAATAATTTCATGATATTTCCCCTACATTTTTCTCTGCCAAAACTGTTTCAGTCTCAAATAACTAAATTATGATATAGCTGTAATGAAGAGCAGAATTGTAATACTCTACACTATTTCCATGTTTTAAAATCCAAATGGGCAATGACAGACAATACAAATTACTTTACACTCTAAAGTGTAAATTCTTATATTTAAGCTCTCAATATCACTATTTTAACTAGCTATCTTCTTATTTGAGATAAATATCACAATGAAATTGCTAAAAATTGCTAAAAATACACAAACATTATTTTGACATCCTACCTAGCATTTACACGTTACTTAAGAACTTCTATATGAGAAAACAAGAGTTAAAACAAGAGGCAGCCACTTTCAATTCTTACATAATGTAAATCATGTATGTTATCTGAAATTTAATGTTTGAGTATTAATGGTTTACTGTTCTATCACAATGGTCAAGAGGGCAAGTGAAATGAACAAGTTTCTTAAAATGTCCTTCCAATGGATAAATGGCAGTTTTTATCAAATATTAAATACCTATATTTAAAATATTGAGCCAGAAAATTAAATCCATGGGTTTTCCAGAGGGAAGCAGGCTCCTTCTTCTCTAATGTAAAGAAATGACATGGAATGCTCACGTTTTTAGTTTCTCATATCTAATGACAGAATGAACAAACACATAACTCCCTTACTCAAGGTGTAGGGCCCATATACTCAGTCTATTTTTCACATCTTTTCATCAGAAAAGATGACATCCTAACAGTTTCTCTCTGCTCTCATTAATGAGGAGCTACTATCCTTAAGCTGAGAAGACTCTGCCAAACTACCCACCACACTTAAGATAAAGAAAGCAGGCATACAACATTTTATATAAATGCATTAAAAACAGTCACTTTAATAGTTAATGCATTAAAATTAATGCATACTGGTGCATTTTAAAGACCAGTATTAGTAAATTAACAACATTTCAAGGAAAGCTAGCCATTCTGGAAAATAGTATTCCATTAAGAATGTTAAACCATTTTTTACTAGACAAAATATATGAGTACTACAGATTTTCAGTTTAAAAGAATCAATATTATACAAAGTGTTATAGGAGCTACACAAGGCTCACAAACAAAACCAAATTATAGTTTATTACCATGATGAAAAAGTTAATGTATTTTATCCCATGTTAAAAATCTTTTTTATAAGAGTAGATTGTTCCATTAAATAAAATTAAATCCTCCCACATCACTACTAACTCAGTCACAATAAGAAATAACCCAAGAGAACCTAAAAGGGCAAAAGGTTAGGTCAAATACTATTAGACTTTTCAAACACACACACACACAGTTTCAAGCCACAAAGCTGGCTTTTTAGAATCTTTGCCCTTGTTATGGATACTCCTGGTACACTGTAAGTGTGCATCTTTTTTAAGGAAGCTGTATATCAGTCTCGTTCCCAGTGAACAGTGAACTGTCTCAAATCCACGTCACAGAGGCTGGATCAATCTTGCAAACACAAGTCACTGCTGAAAAGAGGCCTTGAACTGAAACAGCCTGGAAAATGTATGAGATACTCATTCTAGCAGAGAGTATGCCTTCCAAGCAGTTAAAATGTAATGTGGCAAAACTTAAATTAAACACATCATTTAAAATAAAAATCCTGCCTTAACAGATGTAAAGTCCCTGATACAAGGAAACAAATTACCTGGAGTTACTGAAGGGAAAAAGACCAACACATGAAGGAGACTTCTTTTTGCATTTTTCTCCATAGTTACAACTGGATGTCGGGAGGAGGGGGATCTTCCCACTCCTTGTTTATTACACTTTTCTATTAACCTTTGAAAGTGTCCTCTTCTTTCTGCTTGTAAAATGGAAGCGAGAGCAGCTACCCTTGCCTAGAACAGTGATGCGGGGTCTTAGGGAAAAATGAGAATGGTACATATACTACCACCAGCAAGAAAACCATTTTCAAATGTGTAACTTGCCTCTATTATCTTTCTGATTTCCATAAGGACGATGTAAACTGCTCCAAGCATGCCACTGTGAGACCCCCATAATGAGAGTCAAAAAAGAAAACTTTGGATGGCCACTGTTTCTAGTTGATCAAGCTTAATCCTATACTATGAATAACTCTGGTTTTTCTGAAATTCATAATCATTTAAGAAAAATGAGCATAACATCAATTCAAGCAATACTCTAGCATACCTTAATAATTAACAATATGACCATATACGTTCAAATCTCTACCTTATAGTCCAAGGCTGAGAGCTTTTCCAGCCTTCTGTTTGTATCAGGAGAGCTCATCTTCTTGGCAAACTGAATAAAACACAGCTTGTTTTGTGCCAAAAACGATAGGATGATGAAGCCGTCTGTGAGAAGGGCTTAAAAAAAAGATTTGATAATACTATCAAGTACTAAGTTACAATAAAATAATAACAAATAAATAGTTTCTTCTATCGAAATGTTACAAAAAGCTGTTTTCAGAAGATAAATGAATACTAATTGAAAGTCTCCTAAATATCATTGTGGACATTTTCCAACGATAACAAAGATATTAGAAAGAAACAACAATAATCAAGCTAATCATGCATGGGTTTGATATTTTTCCTTTACATGAGACCATTTCAATATACACTGATATTTAGGGACAACTTACAAATGAGATGTATTTGGAATAGAGGTAGGAAAAGCATAAAACACTGTTTCATATCTGAACGTAAAGACAGAAACACTTATTTCTACTTAGCTTTTAATCCTGTATTTATATGATACAAACCATCTGAGAATAAATTGGATTTATTAGAGGATACAGACCAGTGTTCTCCACCGATTTTTTAAAAAAATTTTCATCAATGAACTTTCTGAAAGTATACTAGCGGAATGAACTAAAACATATTATACCCAATATGCATATTATGTAAAGTAATACTTGATAATGAAGATTAGCAAAAACATTTCTACAGCTATATTTCTAAAGCACACAGATAATTAATTTGCATGGGTTACATAAAGAACCATTAATGTTATAAAAATTACTGATAAAAACATATAGTAGGAATTTGAGAAATGTTTTACATTGTTCCCAGCATAAAGCAGTTATTGAATGTTTTATATATTTTTCTTTACTTCCATATCCCTGGCTGTGCAAGCAATAACCACAGTAGATCTACACAATTACAGGAGAATCTGGAGAACTGCCAAGAAATCACATTGCTATCATGTACTCATGAAAATGGATATATTATTTGTGGTTTAAAGAAACAAGTGAAAAACGATATCTCAGCAACATGAACAGTTTTGGAGGTCTCCTTTTAATTCTAATGGAGGACCACCAAAATGACAAAATCATCACAGCCACTATTTTATTTGCAGCATCAATGAAGGGGCTAATTATTAGACATATGAAAATGGAACCTCTTCCACAGAGAAGCTTCCTTAGCACCATGATCCTATAAGGAAGAGGAAGTGACATACTCATAACCCTACCCCCAGCTTATCATTCTCAGGAATACTACTAACGATAGCCATGCTGCAGAGTGCTTTTCTGTAAGAAATTGTGTCTGCATTATTCAGAGACATGAGTGAGCACACACAGCAGAAGGGTTTCTATAATCTTACCTCTGTCCTTTCCACTAGACCACACTTTCCTTTAATTATTCAATTTAAGCTATGGATAATTTTGAATCTCTAATGATAATCCAATCAGTTTCTTAGACCTTTTTTTTTCACCTTGAATTAAAGTGCAATCTTAAAACTTTAGGAGTCAGCACACTACAGAGCAAAGAAAATGGGTTCAAATTTCAGCCCAGTCATTTTGGGACTATTCCTTAGTATCTCATTGGTGGCCATGTTCATTAGTATCTCAGCTTCAATTTCCTTATCTATAAAACAGAAATAACTATATCTTACAAGGAATAGTTGTTTTAATTAAATTATATAGGTAGGCTGGCACAGCGAAGAGCCTTTTAAGGATTAATAAATGTCAGTATGCTACCTTTTCAGTAATTGGCTTAAAGTCTTTATGTGCTTGGTAGCAATTATATACTAACTGTGATATCACTTTACAGGATTCAGATTTATCTGGTATTTTTGGCACTGATTTTTTTGTTTTTAGAAATACTGCTCAAACTCTCTCAGAAGTTAGTATTCATAGACTTTAGTAACAAAGAATTGTCCTAAGAGCCAAAGAACAGATTTTGTTTTTGTACTAGGTGGCTATGCTGACAAATTGGGGTTATTTATTCAAAATTCATGTGAAAGTGAAAAATATTTGAAATATCAACACACCAAACGAAAAACCCACCTCTTTCGAAAATATGTTCACTTTTTTAGGAAAACAGTAAAACATACTCAAGAATACTAACAATTGACAAAAACTTTGACATTAAATATTAGTCAAAACTTGTATTGGTCCCAGGGGTTGTAACTATGCTTTTACAAGCAATTACTTGTGTTTTCAAGTCCCTAGTGGTAATGATTAGTCTACCTGTTGACACACTATTTCTCCTGCCCCACTGTTAATGTAGGAAACTGATTTGCACATGGGGGTAATTACCATCGCTGATGGTGTCTGAGATGAGCTTCCCCACCAGGCTCCTGTCAATCAGCACCTTCTCCAGCTGCGGCCCGGACAGGCTTAGGGACACCAGCTCGCCTGAACCGAACAGGAGCTAAAAACAGGGAAAGGCAGAGGGGGAGGGAGACATGCTAAGAATAAGACTCTAAAAAATTCTCCCCAAATGTACAACTTATACAGATATGGACATGTGTACCTATACATGGAATTATAAAGAGTTCTTTGAAAAACCCTCACTGACATTCTGAGTAAAAAAAATACTGGGGGTTAAATGGAGGAATACAGTAAGTGCACTGATCAGTGTTATATGGAGAAACTGAATTTAGTCCATGTTGATTAGAAGTGTAATCTTTTAAATACTTGGAAAATAACCATGTGGAAAAAACTTCCTTGCACTGCACTCAGTGATGTGATGTGTCTTATTGAAATGTTTTCAAAGATTAATATTTATATTAGTAATTAAAAGATTTCTTAACATTTGAGTAGGCATTGCTACATATTAAATAGCAATCATCATTACAATGTTAACATCAAGTATTATGATTTATCTGGAATTTAAACTCCTTCAAATAAAGATCATGTCTAAAATATTAAAATACATGTAAATCCAAGGCAACTAAAGCACAATGTTAAATGTTAAAATTCATAAATAAGTACCACATACCAGAAATAACTTCTCAAGGAGAGATAAACATAGTAAAGTATGCAGGCTTTATTAATATTAGTGTTCACCCAACCACCCAACAAAAGACGTCTGGGTATCACCATTATGGTTTTATACTGTTCCTTTTCATTTGCGGCAGCATAATTCATTCATCTCCAAATGTTTAAAACTTCTGAAAGGACTATGCATATGTGTATGCTTGTTATCTATGAGATTATGAAATATCAACATTGGAAGAAATTGTTTCACCTTCAAGGCAACAGACTCAAAGCAGATGAATCATGTAATAGCATATGGTATAAGGAGGAAAAAACCAATTGTCAGTAAACTAATGACGAACATGCTAGCCAAATCTAAAGACAACTATGATTTTAAACAAAACAGGGGAATTCCCCACCTACCTAGGCATCATGTCCCAGCTAGAGAGGATGATTCTGTGACAAGACATACTGGGACATGTGTGAACAACGAGCAGTAAGAGGGACCAGGTGGTTATTATATTAAAAAAGACAACCATTCCCCTACTGTCTAACAGATTCCAGGCATATGAACCAGAAAAGAAACTGAAGGGCCCCATGTGATTAAACGAACTGTCAATTTCACTTTAATATACCCCCAAGGGGCTGGAAGGCAGGGGAAAGGAGAACTTAACTTTATTGGTTTGGGAGACTAGTAAGAGAAGGTGAAGGTACATTTGTTCCTAGAATTTCAAACTACTTCATGAATTAATTAATCTCTACTGAATTATGAATTACATCCAGCCATGCCATATACACCTTGATGACTAGCACTAATATTTTCCTTTTAGAGAATACCCCCATAACAATATAACATGTGGTCTTTACCCCTACATTCTCCCCTCTCAAGCAGGCAATTTTAGGGTCATCTTTCATATCTAGTTCTCCCCCTTATAATAGTTTTTTCTCCCCTCATTTATTTAATCTCTTCCTCATTTATTCAGAGAAGTGAAGTCACTCAGTTGTGTCCAACTCTTTGTGACCCCATGGACTGTAGCCTACCAGGCTCCTCCATCCAGGAGGAGGCATTTTCCAGGCAAGAATACTGGAGTGGGTTGCCATTTATTTAGAGCACCTCTAAAATTTGTCCTTTTCTATTTATTTTTATCTACTAGAATTTTACAACCGTACTCTTAAGCACCTCTTTTCTTCATTATCTACTATTAGTTCCTAATGGATATTAGCTAGGCCACTTTTATCTTTATATCTTAAAGATATATATATCTTTATATCTTATAGATGTATCTTAAAGATATATATCTTTATATCTTATCCAGTGCCTAGAACAAGGTCAGACACATAGCAGGTGCTAACTAAATTCTTAGAGAAAGATCATGATAGGATTAAATAATTGCCAGTTAGAAGGAAATCTGGTCTAATTTTCCACTCCCACATGCCATGGAAGTTCCTTCTTTAGCATCTCTGCAAGCATCCTTCAAGGATCCAGCCCATGCTTGAATACTGCCAGTAACCAGAAGCTGCTTTAAATAGATGATTAATAAAGAAGTAAAAAGGTCCCTTTGAGGAGACAACGTTTGAGTACAGATCCAAATGAAGTGAAAGAACAAGCCATATGATTACTTGAAGAAAGGGAATTTGAGGCTTAGAATAGTAAACGTAAAAACTCGTGAGGTCAGAATGTGCCTGGGAAAACTGACAAAAGGTAGGCCAGTGTGCCTTGAGAGGTGAGGAGTGAGTGAGGGATGTTCAGAGGATGGAATCAGCAAGGCAGTCAGGGGACCTTGTTGAGGAGAAATCAGAGGGTTTTAAGCAGCAGTGAATTATAATTTATATTTTAAAGAAGGATCAGGGCAAGAGTAAGGCTTCCCTGGTAGCTCAGATGGTAGAGCGTCTGCCTGAGGGGACCTTGTTGAGGAGAAATCAGAGGGTTTTAAGCAGCAGTGAATTATAATTTGTATTTTAAAGAAGGATCAGGGCAAGAGTAAGGCTTCCCTGGTAGCTCAGATGGTAGAGCGTCTGCCTGCAATGCAGGAGACCCGGGATCGATTCTGGGTTGGGAAGATCCTCTGGAGAGGGAAATGGCAACTCACTCCAGTACTCTTGCCTGGAAAATTCCATGGACGGAGGAGTCTGGTAGGCTACAGTACATAGGGTCGTAAAGAGTCGGATACGACTGAGCGACTTCATTTCACTTCACTTTAGGGCAAGAGTAGAAGCAGGGAGACCATCAGGAGGCTACTGCAGTGGCCGGGGTGAGAGATGCTGACGGCCTGCACTAGATGGCAGTGCTAGAGGAAAGAGTACGTGGATTTATTTGAGACATATTTTAAAGGGGAGCAACCAGGGCTTGCTGAAGAGAAAAACTCAAAGGTTTTGGGGCTGAGCAACTTGGTTTACTGAGATGGGGAACACTTGAGGAGAGGTAAATTTAGATTGGGAGAATCAAAAGTTTGGTGTGGACATGTTAAGTTTAAGGTGTCTATGGACATATAAGTAGAGATAATAAATAGTCTGAAGTCTAGGGTGAAGTGGAGGCTGGAGATTATATTTGGGAGTCATCAACAATGTATGGTAGCATTTAAAGTCTTGGAACAGAATAGTGAAAGTCGCTCAGTCATGTCCAACTCTTTTCAACTCCATGGACTATATAGTCCATAGAATTCTCCAGACCAGAATACTGGAGTGAGTAGCCTTTCCCTTCTCCAGAGGATCTTCCCAACCCAGGGATCGAACCCAGGTGTCCCACATTGCAGGTGCATTCTTTACCAGCTGAGCCACAAGGGAAGCCCAAGAATACTGGAGTGGGTAACCTATCCCTTCTCCAGAGGATCTTCCCAACCCAGGAATCGAACCGGGGTCTCCTGCATTGCAGGCAGATTCTTTACCAACTGAGCTAAAAAGAGTGAAGAGATCATAAGGGTGGAATCCTAATCTAATTAAACTGGTGTCCTAACAAAGAACACACAGCAGCAGGCTCTCTTTCCATGTGCATACATAAGGAAAAGGCCAAACAGCAACAAAGAAGACAGTTGTTTATGAATCAGGAAGAAAGGTCTCACCAGAGACCAGCCCTCACAGCAACCTGGTCTTGGACTTCTAGCTTCTAGAACTGTGAGAAAATATATTTGTTGTTTAAGGGAAAAAAAAAAATGGAGAGAAAGAGGCCTAACAACTGAACTCTGGGACATCTCAATCTTTAGATGTGTTAAAAGATCAGGTTAGCCCTCTTATTGACACCTAGTTGGGGTACTTATTAGGATTAAGGTATGTCTATCATTTCTGATTTCCAAATGTCATGTGTTCTAGAAGTAGCCCTAACATCAGATTTTGGAATAAGAAGGTATAAGCAAATTAATAAGTTAATGAATACATTTTTATAAAAACAACCTCTGGGGAAGCATAAGTTTCCAAGTATTGGTGCCAAAGGTATTTCCGGATATGGTAATGGCAATAACCAGATTAGGGGAAAAAATAGTATGAGTCTCAGGAAAAGACTATGCTAGCCCAGGAAAGTATCTCTACCTGTTTCCCCAAAATGTTAGTTCTTAAGCCCTCCAAAATGGAAAAAGCCTATCTTAAGATTTGGCAAGACAAGAAGGAAAAGGAGCATCAATATATTCCATTTCAAAGAATCAAGAGAATCCAACAGTTCAAAAAATTAAAAAGGAGCAGACAAAGAGGCAAAGGGAGACACCTCCAGAGCAGATCTGAGCTTGAGAAGAGAGCCACAGGATGAATAAATGAGAGGGCCAATGGGATTTCCCAGAACTCTGCCAATTTTTATGTAGTTCCCTGTGCAGAAGATGACTAAGGCAAAATAGGAACTGAAACTTTTTCTTTCCCCTGACACCCTTCCAGACAGGAAGCATCTTCCTTGCTAGTTATGCTCTGACCATTATTTCTTTCAATTGCCTACATAACTTTTTCCTTCTCATGTTTTTAAAATAAGCTCATACCAGAGAGGTGTGTCTTTTTTTTAGAAACTAGGAAATGATCCCCATGATCTTCAGATGGTTCCTCAAATTGGTTTCTCTTAACCTTATTTTGAGTACTTAATTAGAAGTGAAAGGCACTGGGAGAAGAAAGAAATTTTTACCATCTGACATCATTAAGCAAAACAAAAACATAAGCAGAAACAAGAATCCAAATTTCATTCACTCAGTAGGTCAAAAATACGTGAATGCCTCCTATATATGCCAAGTATATAGATGGGGATATGATGATGAATGATCCAGGCAAGTATTGGTAAAATGTGTGTAGAATATAGCGGAAGATCTCATCTCAGAGAAGTGGAGGTTTTGGTTAAGATAGATGACTGCTTCCTAGAAGAGGTAGATTAGTAGCCATAAAGTGAAGTACATCATACATCATGATCTGATCAATGCATCACAGTCTCAAGTACTGAAAAAGAACTGGTGCAGTAAGTAACTGTGAATGAGCTCTTTTATAACA